CAGCTACTGTTTGGTGTAATGTTCTGTTCATTTCATTACATGAATCATTCATTCCAGGGCAGAAATCTATTCATTTGTTCTGTGTTCATCTGTGCACACCAACCATGACACCTGGCTAGCTTTACTGCACTCCAGTGGGTCAGGTAGGAAAAATGTTCCCTCATATTTTATGGGGTTTTATTGAGTTTAATTAATTTTATCTGGGCTCCAACCCGAGCACATCATGTTTTTATCACTCTAAAGATGCCAGACATCGACATAAATCTCCTCAACTAGTACTGTTGCTGAGAAGTTCACCTGCCATCTGCTAGGTTAGTATTTTTGAATTTCATTCAGTAAACATCTGGACAGTGGATTCCTGAAATGGTTATTTACCATGGATAGCTGTCTAGGACAATGGTATGTAGGCTACCAAGCTTCACATTCACATGTTTTATACCAGTGAATAGATAAACACTACTATCTGACCCTACAGCTTTTCTCCTTGCTCTTGTTTCCACCTGTGTACCTGGGATGATAAAGGAATATCAGCTAACTAGAATATTTAAATAATTATTACCTGCTGCAACATGGCTTCTGCTGCATCCTCCAGGTTCACAGAGGAACCCTTGTCAGTTATTTTCACCCTCACCAACTGCTGCGTCACTTCCACTTTAAAAGGAGGAAATATGCATTTAAAAATCGATACATGTAAAAAACGTAAGATAGTGAGCAAGATAGTTTCTGAAGTATTGCATTAAAATAATATATAGAAATGTCACATATTGTAGCTTAAAAACTCACCAATTTCACAGATAAAGTAAAATGCGACATCACATCGCTGATTGAGCCACTGCCCTGCATTTAAATACACACAGGGAGTATTGATGTCTCTAGGTGGTATAAATGGCACCATCCATGAAGCGGGGCTCCCATCTGACCACTTCCAGGAGTCTCTGTAGAGGCCGATCCATATGATTTTGTACTGGGCCAGCTTGTTTATCTGGGCATTTTCAGTTCTGTTCCTCACACTGGCCAGGTCAGTGTAGTGCTCCCTGCAGTAGCTCTGAGCCTCGCTCCAGTTCTTCAGGTCATTCACAAAGATGAAGCTGGAAGAGGTCACTGTTTCTACATTCATAGGAGAAAAACGTTAGACATGAACATGAAGAAATATCTGAACAATGCTGCTTCTGAAAACATTTGCCATTTAGGTTTACATGTGATCCAGTAACACAGACTGTCTACTGTCTGCACCAAAAAATCTATTTAGCCCTTGTGTTTTCTTCCCGTCAACCATGCACTTTTTTTCCTCCCGGGTCAAAGTTGACCCGGTCCAGTTTGCCTGGTTTTAAAGCATCCATTTTAACTTATCACCCAATTCTGTGTTACACCTTCTTAGCCAACTCCATTCTAACTCATTACCACTAGTTCTACACTTCTTCTTGGAATTCAGGGTCAATCAATCTCATTTATCTTATTTTTTAGTTAAAAATGCAGAAACTCTAAGTTATCTTGACTAATAGTATAAATCAGAGGACTATAAGTTGATGGACTATCACAGACTGGTATATGTCAAAGTTGAGTCAGGATACTGTTTTAGAAGCATTGCATTATTTTTAATGGTAGCACATATACACACCTGTTGTCCTTATGGGTCAAAACTGACCCGGTCTGGTTTGCCTGTTTCTAAAGCATAATGTAAAAAATGATCACCCAATTCTGTGTTACACAATGTCAGCAAACTTTATTCCAGCTCATCACCAATTCATTTTACACTTCAATAAACCTCATTTACATTAAATTTTAAATTTTTTTTAGGAAACCAGCAGAAATTATTATTATATATATTTTGGATAATCACAGACTGATATATATTCCTAGGTCAACATTTGATGGAATTTTATTCACAAATAACAGAGTAAACAAAGAGCTAAATAAATTCATTTACATAGAACAGTCAACATTTATTTCTAAAACTTAAAACTTCAACATTTCAAAACTTGTATAATATACATGTTTATTACTTACATGTGTAAGTGCAGGTGTGTGTCTCTGTGTGAATGTGCTATCATTTGCATGATAGGCAGTGTGTGGTGGTAATGGCATGTTTTTTGCAAATGTTTGCCATGCAATTTTGGCACCTGATGCAGGTTTTGAGATCACTCTTGCCAGTGCAGAATCGGCACCTCTTCCTTGTGGCTGCAGCTGGGTTAGTAGGAGCTGCTGCAGAGGTAGAGGGTCCATCTGTCTGGATTTCTTGGCTGTGGCTCAGGAGGTAGAGCGGGTTGGCCGTTAATTGGAAGGTCGGTGGTACAATCCCCGGCTCCCCCTGGTTGCGTGTCGAAGTGTCCTTGGGCAAGATACTGAACCCCGAATTTCCCCTGGTGGCTGTTCCGCCAGTGTATGAATGTGTGTGAATGATAGTTTCCGTTTCAGCACTTAGGCTCAGTGAATGACTGGTGAATGCAGATGTAGTGTAAAAGCGCTTTGAGTGGTCGAAAAGACTAGAAAGGCGCTATACAACTACGGAACATTTACGTGTAAAAAAAATTATCACAAGTGATTGTTTGTCCACGGAGACCTTCTGCCATCTCAAGAACCACACACTTGCCCTAGTTTTTTTCTGGCTGTCCATCAGCAGGTTTGCCAGTGTACACTTGCATGTTGAATGCATAGCTGGTCCTGGCATTGCACGCTGTCCAGATCTTCACACTCTTCCACAGTCACATCAGCTCCCGGTTTGTACATCTACTGCAGGAGACACACCCACGTGTCCCATACATCACGAATGGCAGCGAGTTTGTCACGTGCACGGTGTACTGTTCTTCTATCTCGATCGTCGAACCGAATGACCCTTGAGATAATGTGGAACATTTTGAGGGACATTGTGGCCCCAAAAATTGCTCAACCAGAGGATTCCAGTGGATTCTGTATTGGATCGATATACTCCAGCAAGAATCAACAGACCTAAGTATGCCTGGAAAGCTATCCCATCCATCTCTCTCCACTTATTGCCATAAACATGACGCCCCTCCTTGTTGGTCATGTTCAGCACAATGTTTTCAACTTGGTTTGGCAGAAACAGTTGAAAAGCAGACGTTATACTATCAACGTGAGCCACTGCGTACCTTGTTGGACCCCTGGGGCTCCTCTCTCTCTCTGCTACCAACATGTGACGTCTGTCACTAGGAGGGATGGAAGACCACAGCAAACTTCCATCTTTTGACTGGAAACACTCAACCATCTGAGGTTCCTCTTCCTCATCACTTGATTCTTCCTCATCTGTTGAAGCATTATTCTCATCTTCTTCGCAACTGTCCTCTTCCTGTCCTCCTCTGATACATCCTCTTCTTCTTCTTCAGATTCCTCCTGGTCTCTCAACTCCTCATCAGGGTTCCAAAGTAATTCAAGAGCCTCTGTCAAATTATAGCGTCTTCATTGTGCTTCCCCCGTCTGCATCTCAGACTAAAATGGGTAAAAGGCTGCAAAAGCTCAGACTTTATAAGCTGTTTTTGTTTTGAAAGGCATTTCAAAGGTGTGAAAAGAACAAGTTTACATGTACTGTAGCTTTGAAGTTTTGTATCTTTGAAGTTTTCTGTGTGGGGGCGTGTGTGGGTGGTGGGTGTGTGGGTGGTGGGTGGGTGGTGTGGGTGTGGGTGGTGGGTATGGGTGGGGTGGGGTGGGTGTGTGGGTGGTGGGTGGGTGGGTGAGTGTGTGGGGTGTGTATGTGTGTGTGTGTGTGTGTACGTGTGTGTGTGTGTGGGGGGGGGATTTCATCTGCTGAAAACCAAAACACCGTGACTTATTGACCCTTTTGCAACACCGGGTCAAATCTGACCCGGGAAGACCAAATATGGAACACATTTGAATAAAATACCCACAATTCAGTGAAAGTAGTGATCATTTTGTTTGTTTGTTTAGAGCGTAGTGTGGAAGCATCCATGTTATTTTGGTGTAATTTTATGAAATAAAACCATATTTTTCATACAAAAGAATTTCAAAACGGGTCAAATTTGACCCGAAGATAACACAAGGGTTAGCTAGGTTTTAGCTAATTTAGCTGCTTGACCTGTCGTATTGATAAGCAACATCTCACATTCAGTCATGTGATGTCTCTGCCAGTAATGTTAGCTTAACTGGAAGAAATGACAGATTCATGGAGTCAGTTCATCTACAACCCCACGAGCAGAGTGACATGGACACTGAGTATTAACTATTACAGTCTTTACTTTTCCACGAAACTCACAATAGACGAGAGTGACGCCCATAACCATGGTTACTGTACACAACAAAGATGGTGACAGCTGAAGCCTCAAATGCTTAAAAGACATAAAAATTAAAAATGCAACACAAAAATGAGACTAAAGTTTCACTGACCATGACTTTTATTTAGACACATGGGTCCATATCAGGAAAATATTTGTATTAGTATATATTTATTTATATTTGTTATATTTGACGAAAATATGACTAAAACTAAGATGCATTTTCTTCAAGATAAAGACTAAAAGTAAAACCAAATAATGTGCTCAACAAAACAATTTTATATGGTAATAATAATAAAAGTCAGTGCTGTTGTAAATGTGTGGTGTGAGGATGAGCCAGTTGTTCCTGAACTTAACTTTAGAGCTAAACATCTCATGCAGCTAATAGCAGGTGTGACTGATGTTATTTCCATTATAATGTGTTTTTCTTACCATTGTAGCAGACAAACGGGTTTGGATCATTGCATTGCAGATCATTCCATGTGCCATCAGCCAATATTTGTCCACAGTCCTCATATCCCCCAGAGTTATTGGGTTGACCTCTCAGCCACTTCCTGAACTCTGCCTCTCCTTCACCATAATATCCCTCCTTCTGCAGCGACCACCTCCAGCTGTGAATGTCATCATACAGTCCCATCCATAACTGACGATTATAGAATTGTTTTGCAGCGGCCACCAGCTGATCAGACTCTTCCTTGTTTGTAGCCGTGGCCAGGTCGGTGTACTTTGACCTGCAGTAGCTTTGGGCATCAGACCAGGTCTTTGACTCTTCCACAGCGACGTAGATACGGCGAAAAGAGGCAGGAAGGAAACACAGTCCTGTGGTAATGAAAAAAGATATTTGATGGCTTTAGCACTGAATGTTTGAATGTCAGGGGAAAACATCTCTTTAGTCGCCCATTACACAAAACTGTCAGAGCACAAACTTGGAGGTCTGATTTATTTTACACCCATGTATGTTACACAGTAACAAGATCCTTTTCAAATATTGGATTAATTTATCTATTTGTTTCATCTGTATCTACATAGTTTATTTCATTGACTTTTTAACTTGGGTTTTCATCTCCACAGTGACTGAATGGATTTTTACCATTCAAACTGCAGTTAAATGTCCATCTCGTTATTTTCTTTTGCAGTTGGAACTGTGATGCCCTTACTCACGTACAGCCCTCTGACATAGGAACCTGGGAACTCTGGGATGCGCCCTTGGTGCTAAGTAACATTTAGCTTTGCATTTGTACCATAATTGTTCCTTGGTAACCACTTATAATTACTTTATTATTTAATGTGTCAAAGAAATACAAACATTAAATTGTACTAACCTGATAAGATCACAAAAATAAAAGTCTTCCCCTCCATGGCAATGCCTGTGCTGCTTCTTTTTACTGTTGTATCATTACGCTGTGAGAGAAATACAGGAGCATGATTCATTGACAAAAGTCTCTGTTTACTAAAAGCATGTCCAGTGGTCCACACAAGCCCCAAAGAGATGGGGTCATTTCTGATGTGCCACACAGGAGTCCCATTGATATTGATAGTTAATTTTTATCTAGCAAAAACTGTCTCTGCTGGGTCAGAACCACGTTTCTCACAGTAGCAATAACTAAGTGAAGATAAATGGAGAATTAAGTTTTAATTTTAGGGTTGACATAAATGGAAAACAACTTTTGCTCAAACATAAAGCTGGTCAAACGATTGTTAAACTGATCTGTGTAAAAAAAACCCTTGACATAAGGGGAACATTCACGGAAGGTCTTGATCGAAAATGGCTAAATCTTCTACCTTTCTTTCAGGGAGAAACAAAACATCTGTGCATCACAGTTATTGTCTTGTGAGAAGTCGGACAGAAAAAGTCCAGTTACTCTGCATAAGCTTGGACCAAATCTGAAGGCCAGTGGTGCCTTGGTGAGGCACGGCCTGGTTTGTGTTTGTAACCCTTGTTGACCTTTGTCATTCCCTGTCTCTCTGTCCTTATTTCCTGAATTATCACTTTCCTATAAAAAGGCATACAATACCCAAATTATAGAATTATGAATAATAATGAACAGTTCAATCAGTTGCTTTGTAAAATAATAATGTTTGCTGTGGAGCGATCCTTTAATTTGATTGACACTTCACCACTACTGTTGACAGCAGTGCAGTATCCTACAAAGCACCTGAATTTTAGAAACCACCCCATCATCCTGTGCAACTCCACAGTCACCACTGTGGACTCCTTCCGCTTCCTGGGCACCATCATCTCCCAGAACCTCAAGTGGGAGCTGAACATCACCTCCTTCACCAAAAAAGGCCCAGCAGAGGATGTACTTCCTGCAGCAGCTGAAGAAGAACACCTTCCTTCAGACTGCAGCAGGCCTCAACAACAAGGCCCGGGTCCCCACTGTCACAGACTCTCATGCCAAACACACACACACCTCACCCCACACGTTACAAGAGTGCTCAACATTGAACTGTGCTCTATGCTCATACTTTGAATGTTTGCACATACTTGTTAATTTTCCTGTATATTTTGCTTTCTTTTTCCATTAGTCAGACAGTCAAGAAGAAGTATAAACCTTACAACTGAGTAAACCCACCAGACAACACACTGAACCACTCGTCAGTAAGGAATGGAGTTCTGGTGGTAGACGACCATAACTGGCTCAGCAGTTGTAATGTGTGTCTCTGCTTTATGTCTCAACCTGTTAACCAGGACAAACAATAATCCCTGAGCTGGGTTTTGTAAAAAGCTTCATTCATTTGTTTTGGGTTGAATAAATTACACCTTAGAGGGGAATGGACGGAAAGTCAAAGCAGAGAGAAAAAGAAAGGACAGTTTACAATATCTAACACAGCCTGGTCCACAAACACCATTCGGTCAGTAACATTAATCATACATTAGTAGATTTGTGTATTACATGCTCATGTTTCTGTGAAATCCATTTGATGTCTTCTATCCTTACATCAGGAGCTTTTCTTAAACAGCTGTCAAATACACCTTAATGACTTTGAACTGACAACCTCTGAATATTCATGATGTCGTTCACAAAATACAGTACTTTGCCCTGAACCACTGCTGGAATTTGAATGACAGCCAATTTTCATTTTCTATACGAAACCCCATTTTGTCAACATTAAGAATTTTCATCCTGTGAGCAATATCAGCAGCTGTGTCAAATAAAATCGAGGTTTCCAATATTATTTCAAATAGTTGATGTCTTACCTGTGATGTGGGAATGAACACAAACCGTAGACGAAGCTTTGATAAAGTGACATTGTGAAATAAGCATTATATTCACTGCAGCCACAAATCAAATCAAAGAGTTGTTTGCATCATGATTCTTTATCAGAACCCCCAATTTGCATTCTATGCAAAAATATATAACACATTATTTGCATTGAGCCACAAAGAGTGTGGTTGACTGTGGTTGAGCCATATTCTTTTAAAAAATTGCCTTTATTAAGTCATTATCTGGTTATTTAATTATCTCAAACCAGTGGTGCCTTGATGAGGCACAGTCTGGTTTGTGTTTGTGACCCTTGTTGACCTTTGTCATTCCCTGTCTCTCTGTCCTGATTTCCTCAATTATCACTTTCCTATAAAAAGGCATTCAATGCCCAAATTATAGAATAATGAATGATGATGAACAGTTCAATAAGTTGCTTTGTAAAATAATAATTTGATTGACACTTCACCACTACTGTTGACAGCAGTGCAGTATCCTACAAAGCACCTGATGAAGTCTATCACAAAATATCACGATTGCCCCTTAAGTGCAGCGTTACTGTGAAAGAAGGGCAGCAATAACGTTGGTGCCTGGTCCCTGCAGACAGTTACATTGTGATGAGGATTAGGCTATTGGAATAAAGATTAACTGACAATTAATCTTATGAGAACTATTTGCCAGGCACCTAATGCATTTTTGCTACAACCTCATGGCTTGATTATTTGTTTATTTGTTCAGCTGATGCACATGCCTCTTTGCATGCCATGAAGATTTACTTTGATTTTTGATTTCTATATCACTAAAAAAAAAAAAATAACATGTTATGGACTGGGTAACTAACATAAAAACAGGGAAACTGGAGTGATCTAATTTAAGGAAAATGTTGAGAAATATACTGTCCGGACACTTTGCTGGGAAATTGATTTGCCTAAAGACACTATGTGATGTTGTCATATGAATTGTTGGGAATCCACAACATACTAATGATGAATGTGTTTATGAACTTCAGCCTAATGCATGTAGTATTTGCCTTGCTGGAATGAGCATGTGGCAAAGCTTCCTGCTAAATCTAGAAAAGCATTTAAAGCTTGGGTAGTCAGGTAGAGACAGACAGGGGCCTTTATTTCAACAGAAGTAACATGCTAATGCAAATGTTAAATACACCTTTCAAATTCTTAAAAGGAAGGAGAATTCAATAAGGTCGGACTCACTGGCTAGGAAGTTACAAAATAATAGTTGTGATGTTATAATGACCTACATAATGAAGGAGTTTGGAATTTTGAATAATGTGAGAAATTATTAAAATTCTGTAGCATTAAAAGTGTATTGGGGGGAATAGTTTTGCAGTTGGTACCATTAATACTAATAAAGAGGTTCCGTTTAGGTTTGGATGACAGTAAAGCAAGTGGAGCTGATAAGATAACTGCTGAACATCTAAAATATACTGGCAAAAAACTCTATTCCTTACTTACTATCTGTATAACTGGCTTCTTAGTCCATGGAACTCTGCTATCTATCTTATCTGGATTATTAGTACCTTTCATTGAATACAAAACGGGCAAAATAAATAGTAAGGACAATTACAGGCCTGTAGCCTTAGCCAACATTCTGTCTTAAGTGTTCAACAGAATCCTCGTGAACAGGTTGGAACAATACATTGTTACCACTCAACCACTTTGTTTAAAAATGTAAACACAACACAGACATGTGTACCTTTGCTTTAAACAATATACAATGGGAAGTCAGCCATTTTGAATAGAAAATGCAATTTGCGAGAGAGAGCGAGAGAGAGAGGGGGAGAGAGAGAGCGAGAGAGAGAGGGAGAGGGCAAGAGAGGGACAGAGAGAAAAAGAGAGGGATGAAAGGAGAGAGAGGGGAGGGAGGCAGCATACACAATATACACACACAGGTACAGACAGTAAAGGTGATGTTGCTATAGACTGAATGAAAAATGGTATAGATATTTATAGCAGTGCAATCGTAATCTTAATGATTATAATAACAATAATAATAATAGGACAATAGTCGTTGTAGCAGAGGGTGTCGAGCTGGAACACGGGGGCAGCAGGTGACCCGCAGCCACAGATCCAGACTCCACAGCTCCAGAGCCAGAAAACCTGCAGGAAGTGATAGGAGGAGAGAGGAGAGGGACGAGAAAGCACAAGACTACCGGAAAGGGGAGAAGTTGTGTTAGTAACATGCAATAATGGGATAAGGTTGCATACAGAGGGAGAGAAAGTAGAGCAGAGAGGAGCTCAGTGCATCATAGGAAATCCCCCGGCAGTCTAGGCCTATAGCAGCATAACTAAGGGATGGTTCAGGACTCACCTGAGCTAGTCCTAACTATAAGCTTTATCAAAGAGGAAAGTCTTAAGCCTACTCTTAAATGTGGAGATGGTGTCTGCCTCCTGAACCCAAACTGGAACCTGGGTCAACAGGAGAGGAGCTTGATAGCTGAACGCTCTGGTTCCTAGTCTACTTTTGGAGACTCTAGGAACCACAAGTAACCCTGCATTCTGGGAGCGCAGTGCTCTGGTGGGGTAGTAAGGTACTATGAGCTCTTTAAGGTAAGATGGTGCCTGAACATTAACAGCTTTGTAGGTAAGAAGAATGATTTTGAATTCTATTCTGGATTTTACTGGAAGCCAATGCAAAGAAGCTAAAACAGGAGAAATGTGATCTCTTTTCCTGGTTCCTGTCAGAACACATGCTGCAGCATTCTGAATCAGCTGAAGAGTCTTAATGGACTTTTTCGAGCAGCCTGAAGAATTGCAGTAATCCAGCCTAGAAGTAACAAATGCATAGACTAGTTTTTCTGCATCATTTTTAGACAGGATGTTCCTGATTTTCGCAATATTACGTAGGTGAAAAAAGGCGATCCTTTGCTTAATGTGAGACTTAAACGATATGTCCTGATCAAAGATTACTCCAAGATTCCTCACAGTGGTGCTGGAGGCCAGGGCGATATGCCATTAATGGAAACTATAACTTTAGATAATACGTCACGGAGGTGCTTAGGCCCCAGAACAATAACTTCAGTTTTATCTGAGTTTAACATTAGAAAATTACAGGTCAACCAGATTTTTACATCCTAAAGGCACATTTGAAGTTTAGCTAACTGATGAGTTTCATCTGGCTTGATCGATAGATATAACTGAGTATCATCTGCATAACAATGAAAGCTTATGGAATATTTCCTGATAATATTGCCTAAAGGAAGCATATTTAAAGTGAAGAGGATTGGTCCGAGGACAGATCCTTGTGGAACTCCATGACTAACTTTGTCCTGCATGGAGGACTCATCGTTAACATGTACAAACTGAAATCGATCTGATAAATAGGACTTAAACCAGCTTAGAGCGGTTCCTTTAATTCCATTGAAGTGGTCCAGTCTCTGCAATAGGATCTGATGGTCAATGGTATCAAATGCAGCACTAAGATCTAATAAAACCAGTACAGAGACAAGTCCTTTGTCTGATGCAATAAGGAGGTTTTTAGTAATTTTCACCAGTGCTGTCTCTGTGCTATGATGAGCTCTAAATCCTGACTGAAAATCCTCAAATAAACTATTGCTCTGTAGAAAGTCACACAGCTGCTTTCTCCAGGACCTTAGAGAGAAATGGAAGGTTAGATATAGGTCTATATTTGGCTAAAACATCCGGATCAAGTTTGGGCTTTTTCAGAAGAGGTTTAATTACAGCTACTTTAAAGTACTGTGGTACATAGCCTGTTGATAAAGATAGATTAATCATATCTAGTATAGAAGTGCTGACTAAGGGTAAAACATCTTTAAGCAACCTAGTCGGGATGGGGTCTAAAAGGCAGGTTGATGGTTTAGATGAAGAAATTATTGAAGTTAGTTGGTAAAGATTGAGGGAAGCAAAACAGTCTAAACATATATCTGGTTCTACAGCTGTTTCTAAGGTTCCTGAGTTTAGAGATAAGTTGGTGCCAGTTGAGGGGAGGTCTTGGTGAATTTTGTTTCTAATAGTTAGAATTTTATCATTAAAGAAGCTCAAGAAGTCGTAACTACTGAGAGCTATGGGAATACTTGGCTCAATAGAGCTGTAACTCTGGGGTTGTTGACGAGTAGTACTCTGCTCTGGCATTACGGAGGGCCTTCCTATAAGTTTTAAGACTATCTTGCCAAATTAAACGAGAATTTTCCAATTCCTCTCAAGTTTCCGCGATATTTGCTTAAATTTGAGAGTTTCAGTATTATACCATGCAGCTAACTTTGTTTTATTATTATTTTTTTTTAGAGGGGCTACAGAGTCTAGTGTCATTTGCAGCGAGCCTGCAGCACTATCAACAAGATGATCGATTTGGGAGGGACTGAAATTAGCATAGGAGTCCTCTGTTACTTTGTGACTTGATAATGAATTTAGAGCTGATGGAATCGCATCCTTAAATTTAGCTACAGCACTTTGCTAACTTCACATTTCTCAAAATGGAGCTGCCAATGATCAGAGTTGGTTTCTCAGCGGGTGTGTCGCTGAGTGGGGAAAATCTGTTAGAGACGTGAACAGGTTGGTGGTGGCCCGTGGGCTTTGAATGCTTACGACAATTCCTCCTTCGGACAGTCACCCAGCCACCCCTTCCTGGCTGCTCAGGAAATCCCGGGGGAGGGCTACCACAGGCTAACTCGGGCCGTTCCGCACCGACTACCGGGGACTGGCTAGCTACAGTAGCTAAAGACTGATCTACCAAGGTGCGGAGCCGGACTTCTAAATCACTGAGCCTCGCCTCCATGTCTACAAAAAAACTACACTTATTACACGTACCATTACCGCTAAAGGAGGCAGGGGAGTAACTGAACATCTGACACACCGAGCAGGAGAAAGTAGGAGAGGGAGAGGGAGAAGGAGAAGCCATCGCTAGCTGCTGAGCTAATGTTGCTAACGGCTAAGCTAAAGTACTGTATCGTTAGCTACCAAAACTTTTGAACAACTATGAGATTAAACAGCAGTCACTAAAAGATGGAAAGAAGTGTGAGTGCTTAGGCAAAATTACTGTGTTTAGCGGACAGTTGGCCACTGTAATCTAACAAATGTAACTGGTATTTAGTGAGAGCAGCACAACACGCTACCAACACACAAGCACCGGAAACGGAAATGAGTCGACACGCTTACCGCAGTAAGTATACCTTGACCTGTGTGTTTGACTTGTAGAAGCACAAAAAATGACAAATAAACAACAAGTAAACAACGTGGGGCAGGCTAAACGCTCTGCTGCTGAAACACTTCCAGCGGAGTTGACGCAGGGCTGAGGATGGGTCAAAACTGTGGCGCAACCATAACGCGGTGCACACACCGCCATTGTGAGTCCGGCTTAAGGCTATCGCTTGTAGGTTAGAGGTGAGGCAGGGTTAGAATGTAGAACAGTGGAGCTGCCGTCACCCTGGATCCTGAGGTACGATGAGGCCACAGAGATAGCAGCCAGATCGCTCTATCTTGGCAGATGTTAGTGCTACAAGCTCTGCTGTCTCCAGGGGCTCGAAGGGGGCACGACGGGGGCCCTGGTCAGGGCGCGCACCACCACCACCAAATCCCACTGAGGGGTCGTGGGGTGCCTGCTAACACTCTTCAAAAAACGAGGATGAGCGAAGACTGTCATGTCACTGAAACCTTCATGGCAGGATGAAATGGCAGCAGCGTAGATTTTCACTGTGCTGAAAGCCAAACCTCTGTCCATTAGAAGCTGAAGGAACAAAAGCGTGGACTGGGCAGGGGACAGGCCACAGGGTCCAAACCCTGAGCAACACACCAGCACTGGAACGCAGCCTACTTTGAGTGTACAAAGACCATGTGGACGGCGCTCTCGCTCCCTGTATGGTACGTACTCTGCTTTGATGGAGAGCAGGTGAGTGTGCGCCAGCGCAGGCGTCTGGCCTGGTTCAGCAGTTGAGCCGAGCGCACACTGCCCTGGCGATTTATGGAGGCTGTCTTGGCCTTGTTGTCTGTGCGGATTAGCACGTACTAGTTCCGAAGGAGGGGGGCAAAGTGCTGGACCACTTTCCACATTGTAAGAAGCTCCAGCGCATTTATGTGGAGGGGCATGTGGGCTGGCCACTGACCCCCTACCGTCTGTGAGAGACATGTTCCGCCCCATCCTGACAGGGAGGCGTCCGTGAAGACCGGGACGTGCAACAAGAGCAGACTTTGTGGTGTGGGGGTCCCTATAATGGGCCAGATCTGGGCCCACCAATGTGGGCACGGAGAGCATTCGGACTTCTGACTTTTCCACTTCTGACTTCCCGTGTCTACATGCAGGCAGATGACCCCCCGTTGTAGCCTCCGCAAGTACAGGAGGTCCAGCGGAATTACGAGATGAGGACTGCTCTGAGGGGGGGCTGCAACAGTACAGCTCCGCTGATTAACAGGATTCGGGACTCAGTGGGGAACGACAGCACATGTTTCCCCAGTAGTTTGCACCCTGCCAGTAAGTTATGTCAGCCCACAGTGTTTGAAAGCTAGAGCTGGGTTTTCCCTACACTCTCACGATAAGATACAATCTTCTGTATCGATACAGAAGCAGGTCTCTGCACAGCCCTGGCCTCTAGTCATTCTGTGTTGAGGTCATGGATAAGGTACTAGTTTGCAAACTTGAGTTTTGCAAATGATGCAAATTAGCAGAAATCTTTACATATACAAATTCTTGGAAGAAGCCCAAACCAAGGACAGCAAAGGATGACTCTGCTTTCTTTAATCTGTATGAGTCCCCTAAAACAAAAAGTGATGAAAGAATAATCTTTGGTCTAAACAATCTAATGTCCATTTTATTATTAATATCCATTGCATCATAAGCAGGATCTCTACATACCCTTATTGTTGTGTGACACTAGCAAGGAAGAATATGATTTTTCACTCTGCACATCATCAGCAAAATGCAGCTTGCATGTCAAGGAAAATATATGATGAAACTTTACAGAATGTAAATTAATTGTCTGACTTGAAACCAACTATGTGAGCTAATGGCTCATTGCAGAGGGGGCAAGGACTTCTAGTGGGCCAACATTTTATTGCGTGAGCTGCTTTCACTGTAGTTTGGTTCATCTGGTCCTGACCAATGAAAAAAATACATATACATTGGAACGTTTGAAAGCAAAACTCCCAATAAAACTCAAAATGGCAAGGCCCTATTAAGGGGGTAATTGGGGGATGAAGAAACGACAATACAAATAGGCCAAATAAGCGTCTATGCTGGTGCTGTAACAACAGCATAAAGTACAAAACGTGTGTGATCCTCGTTTCACACTTCTTCATGTTTTGGAGTTATTCTGATCGATGGTGTGGCGGTCGTATTGACGAGTGGCAAAGAGGCATGATGTCAAACAGTGGGGAATAACTTGGGGAAAGTGGTTTACTAGCCTCTCATCCGGAAACTGGTTTCTTCTTGTGGGTTTGGTGGGCAGAGCTTAGTGGAGTAACACAAGCAGCGGAGAGAGACACGAATGGTTTGTATTGGATGTTCAATTGTTACCAACTGCTGTTTTAATGTGTTGACGTAGGACTACAAAACAGCTGCGGGCTAATCCTCTTTATGTACAGTAGGAACATGCTTTCTAGTGTTGGGAGAGCACAATAGGAATTCCTACAATTTTATTTTATAATCAAGACACTGGTACAGAGTACAACCTGAAATCCCAGTATTCAATAACACATACACACATTTTGGGGGATTCTGGAAAAATTAATTCCACAAGCTAAAACTATGCTACTTCTACATGGTGAAAATTACAATATATCTATTTCAGTGTAGCAGCATTCTAACATATACTATATTTTCGCTTATTGATGTTAAAGGAATTATTTTTGACTGCGTGGTGTTTTTCCATCCAAACATGTGAACAGTTTATATCACAGGCCTGTTAATTCATTCATTAATTCATGTTCATAGAAAGAGCAATGCAATTTGGTAGTAGTTATAGGGATCAGTGAGACCATGTTCTGAGACTGTAATTTGTATTTCTGTTGAGTTTAAAATTAAAGTCCTTAAGAATTTCATGAACTCAACCCCCACTTTTAGTACCACTTATAGTGAGCATTTTTTCAACAATAGACATTAAATATATTTGCAGTCTGTATTTATTCCTCGTAGTAGTTTTCATTGTTGATGGCGGAGTCTATCAGTTAAATGTTGGATTTGAAATGTCCTACCTGTCCACAGGGCATTCACAGGAAAGGAAACCATGCAGAACGTAATCCACTTTGAAATTTGATCTCATTCATGTTAGCCTCACTGCTAACTGAGAGAGAGTTTGTGAATTTGGACAGAAGTTCCGACATAAAACAAAAGCTGTCTTTCATCATGAAGCCTAATGTAACGAATGAATCATTTTCCTTTATCAGTCAAGCGTATGAACTACTCTGTCTTACATGAACGAGTCCAACGCTGGTTCACATAATTAATTAGTTGCAAATTACTTATATATGCACACAAGTTATTAATGTATGGGCACAAATTACCAGAACTTTACCCCTGATACGAGTTATGCAGAAATGTGATTCAAACTTGTGTGTAATGAAAATGAAAAGTGTCTACATGTCACATCTTGTCAATGTAACAATTTGAATCTCTCAGTTCACTGAAAATTCCACATAAAACTGACCAAATATAAAGAAAAGGAAAAAACATCAGTTCAGGTTGCAGCTGATCTCCTGGTTCTCCTTCTTTTCTTTTTCTTCCAAGTGGAAGATCTTTCCATCAGGCTGCTTCCTCCATGTCAGCTTCATGTTATCACTCAGTGTCTGACGGAACTGAGAAACACAAACATTCTTTATTTATTCCTTATTACAAACAGAGCAAAGAGGAGAGAGAGCTACAGTGTGGAGATTTTCTTCTTGCTCAGGTAGACTTGATATTGACTGTTACTGGTACTTACTGTAGCCAAATTTAACATTCTGTACAGTAAATGATGGGAGGCACCATTTTACTCTAGTTCCCTTTCCTCTGACAGAGCAGAAGGTCAGTGACTGTTACATAACACCCTGAAGTCTTTGCAGTTTACAGGTCAGACTGCATTGTGTGCGCTACAGAGCCACCTACTGACTGAGGTGGGATTTGAAAAGTCTTTAACAAATCTGAATCCTCTGACATCATCAATCTAAAAATATACATTACTGTTATTTTTTGTGTCCCTTTGGCATAAAATGTAAATACAAATTTTATGTATTAATTGGTATCACAAATCAGTTGCAAGCAGCTCACTTTCTGTAATGTTTTTTCTCATTGATGATATTGTTCCATATGTATATCTTTATTATTTAAATTTAAAGTTTTTTTTCATACACTGAACATATCAACATATCAAATAACTTAATCACATCAATGCACAGCCAGATAGCAGATAACTATCCATACCTGTACTTATCAGATCACTGGTCAGAGATTGATGTGCAGCACTCTGCTCTCAATTGACTTTATTTATGCGCAGGTATAAACAAAACAGAGCATTAAAGAGTGTTATTAACATTTATAATGCTACAGGCTAGGCTACACACTATATGTGCACCTGATAGCAGCTAAAATTGGCCAATATAGCTGAAACAACGTCCAATGTAGAGTCACATCTGTAACTATCAATCTGCAGCTTGAATCAAATCACTTTTCAATTCTGATTCAGCTGGAGGTGAATTCAGCAACAATGGCACAGTGATTTCTTCTCAACTGTAATGAGGTTCTTTAAATTCACTAAGGCTCTGATTTGCACCTCTGACTGGCCTTTACTCCATGGCACCTGTGGCCGAGGCTTATGGGTGCTGTAGTCCATCGTGCCACAGTAACAGCCAAAACATGATTTCTCATGATTTCTATTATAAAATAATTAAAACTGGTGGCCACAACATAATTCTATATGATCATTACATCATTCAGGAGAGTCCTGTGTTTCTGTGTTCAGTAACATTGAGGAAACTGTTTATAATCAAATCAATATCATTTGTTAGTCTGAGCACACCAATCATGACCCCTGCCTAGCTTTACTTACACTTATATTTTAAGGGGTTTTTATTGAGTTTATTGAATTTTATCTGGGCTCCAATCCAAGTATGTCATGTTTTTATCAGTTTAAACATTTCAGACATCGACATCAATCTCCTCAGCTAGTACTGTTGTTGAGAAGTTCAGATGCTATCTGCTAGGATTGTATTTTTCGACATTCATTTAATTAGCAGCTGTACAGTGGATGCCTGAAATGGGTGTTTTCTTTTTCCATACCAGTGAATACATAAAAAGTACTATCTGACCCTGTGCCTTTTCTCTTTGCTCTTGTTTTCAACCTGTGTACCTGGGATGATAAAGGAATGTCAACTAATTCACCTGTTTGTGGTGGAATCTAAATTATTATTACCTGCTGCAACATGGCTTCCGCTGCATCCTCCAGGTTCACAGAGGAACCCTTGTCAGTTATTTTCACCCTCATCAACTGCTGTGTTGCTGAAACATCTAAAGGAGGAAATATGCATTTAAAAATCTTGCAATACATGAAAAAAAAGGTAAGATAGTGAGCGAATGTTTCTGAAGCATGGCAATAAAATTATATTTAAAACATTTGACATGTTGTATCTCAGATGTGTAGCTTAAAAGCTCACCAATTTCACAAATGAAGTAAAATGTGGCATCACATTGGTAGCTGACCCACTGCCCTGCATTTAAATACACACAGGGACTATTGATGTTGCCAGGTGGTATAAATGGCACCATCCATGAAGTGGGGCTCCCATCTGACCACTTCCAGGAGTCTCTGTAGAGGCCGATCCATATGATTTGGTTCTGGGCCAGCTTGTTTATCTGGGCAATCTCAGTTCGGTTCCTCACACTGGCCAGGTCAGTGTAGTGCTCCCTGCAGTAGCTCTGAGCCTCGCTCCAGGTCTTCAGGTCATTCACAAAGATGAAGCTGGAAGAGGTCACTGTTTCTACATTCATAGGAGAAAAACATTAGACATGAACATGAAGAAATATCTGAACAATGCTGCTTCTGAAAACATTTGCCATTTTGGTTTACATGTGATCCAGTAACACAGACTGTCTACTGTCTGCACCAAAAACGCAAAAAAAACCTCCAGTATGCATTGGACCAGTCTACCTCGCATACTGTGTCCCATAATGCAATCCGCTAGAACATTAACAACAACTGGTCTTTTCTTTAGACGCCAGCAACAGAAAGTTCTGAGGCAGGAAATCAACTGTGTAGATTCCAGATATTGGCAGTTTACTGAATATTGATGACGAATCAAAAATGTGCTCAAACATTTTCAGAGATGAGAAGTTCCGCAAGTGCGGGGGTGAACTAATGAGTCAACCTGCTGGTCAGCTCAGAGTCTCTGATCCCACAGACACACTGCAGCGCACGAAGCAGCCAACTCCAGCAACAGTTGTCAGATAATTTTAATATTCGTACCATGGTTATTCTATCATAAAATTTTGAGTAATGCTGTAAAGTTTTAACTTAAATCAAGAGACATCTGGCTCGCAATATACAGAAAATTATTGGATTGTAAAACTTAGAAGCACTTTGGGAAAAAAAATAAACAACAGAAATAGTATGAAATGTTGACTGTTGCTTCATTATTATCATTATTATATACACACATTACATTGTTAGTGTACAGTCAAACATAAGTCACAAGAGGGGTGGGATGTTACCCATAACCATGGTAACTGTACACAACAAAGATGACGACAGCTGTAAGCTCCAAATGCTTACAAGACATAAACATCTAATTTGTTACAAATATCAGACTAAAATTTGACTGACGATTTTTGCTTACTAAAACTAACACAAATCAAATAAGTCAGATTTGAATAAAACTTTACATTTTCATCAAGATAAAGACAAACTAAAATATCTGCTCAAATTAACATCATATATGTTATATGGTGATGATAATAATAATAATCATAATAATAATAGCTTTATTTGTAATATGTCAGTTCTGTTGTAAATGTGTGGTCTGACGATGAAGCAGTTGTTCCTGAACTTTACTTTTATGAAGAGGTAAACATCTCATGCATCAAATAGCATGTAGCCCAGGGCAGCATGCACCGATTTTATTGTACTATTTGCCATTATAATGTGTTTTTCTTACCATTGTAGCAGACAAACTGGAATGTAGATTTGCAAGACCAATCATTCCATGTGCCATCAGCCAACATTTGTACACAGTCTTCATATCCCCCAAAGTTATTGGGTTCACCACTGTTCCACATCCTGAACTCTGCCTCTCCTTCACCATAATATCCCTCCTTCTGCAGCGAACACCTCCAGCTGTGAATGTCATCATACAGTCCCATCCATAACTGACGATTATAGAATTGTTTTGCAGCGGCCACCAGCTGATCAGACTCTTCCTTGTTTTCAGCCGTGGCCAGGTCGGTGTACTTCGACCTGCAGTAGCTTTGGGCATCAGACCAGTTCTTTCCCACTTCAACAACAACGTAGATACGGCAAAAACAGGCAGGAAGGAAACACAGTCCTGTGGTAATGAAAAAAGATATTTGATGGCTTTAGCACTGAATGTTTGAATGTCAGGGGAAAACATCTCTTTAGTCGCCCATTACACAAAACTGTCAGAGCACAAACTTGGAGGTCTGATTTATTTTACACCCATGTAATGTATGTTACACAATTATACAATTGTTATTTAGTATAGTTTAATCTCTCTCTCCAAAGTATTTTCTTTGACTTTGAACACATTTAATGTTGGGTGTTTGTCATTGATTTTCATTAAATTGCCTCATGAACACATTTTTAGAACATTTTTGATTAATGCAGCTTTAATGCCGACTGTAATCAGTATTTTTATATAAACAATGGATCTCATAACAACTTGTAAATGAAACTCAACTTGAGTCACTCTTGCATGTGGTAATGAACCAGAAAGACAAAGCCAGCGTATTTATGATCTCATGGTTCTATATTACCCAGCTCAAGATGGATAGATAGATCGATCCACGAGAGGAAATTGCGATGTTGCAGCAGAAAAACTGACACAGATTACAAATATTTACAGACTAGACTAGTTACACAAACTAACGTATAATGTACAAAAAGTCATTTTTAAAAATATACTTACTCGAGTTGTATACTCAAGTGCAACTGTGTGCATATTCAGGATGTGCAATTTAGTATGACTTGCTAATATTGAGAGTGATGAGTATGATGTAAAATTATAATGTAATATCCTTTATTATTCACGTGTCATTCAGTCTCCTCTCCCTGCCCAGAGTCTCCTCTTAATAATATTATCACACCTTGTCCCTTGGTGAAATGTTCAATGTATGTTTCTTCTATCAATATCTTGAAATCATGCACCTACAGCTTATAGCCTACTAATGTTATACTCCTTGAAACCTATGTGGTGTATAACATATGTGCATTTGACGCATAACAGTTTAACATAGCACTGTAGCAGCTGGATAGAGGATTAGTGACCTTTTAAGGGGAGAGCAGAGGTTAGTGGTTAGGTGGAGACTCAGACCCTTACATGGTGTCTAATAGATGTCTAAACATGTCCTATATAAGCTGTGTTTGATGTACAGAGAGACAGAGTGGCCATCGGGCTGGGTCACTCTCCAAGCTGCTGCAGAGCTTGTAATTGATGCTGAACTCTTTGATGTAATAAACCTTTATGATCAAGAACAGTGTCAAGCGGATTTCTTCTCAACACATCATCGCAGCATTATTGTTTGGACACCACACCAACACCCTCAAATTTGCAGACAGATTTCTTGACTTTAGACATAAAAATCTCCACAGTGACTGAACAGATTTTTACCATTTAAACTACATTTGAAATGTCCATATCACTTTTAATGCAATTTTAGTTGTAATTACAAGTGCAACTATAACCCTCACTTACATATAGTCCTTTGACATAGAAACCTGGGAACATAGGGATGAGTCCCCTTTTGCTAATTAAGTAAGCTTTGCATTTGTACCTTACTTGTTCCTTGGTAACCACTTAATGTGTCAAAGAAATACAAACATTAAATTGCACTAACCTGATAAGATCACAAAAATAAAAGTCTTCCCCTCCATGGTAATGCCTGTGCTGCTTCCTTTTATTGTTGTAGCGTTACACTGTGAGAGAAATACAGGAGCATGATTCATTGACAAAAGTTTCTGTGTTTAATAAAACCATGTCCACTGGCCCACACAAGCCCCAAACAGATGGGGTCATTTCTGATTGTGCCACACAGGAGTCGCACTGGTATTAATAGTTAGTTCTTATCTAACATATACCGGCATAACTGTCTCCACCACGTTTCTCACAGTAGCAATGACTAAATACAGATAAATGTATCAATAAAGTTATAATTTTAAGGTGGATGGCAAATATTAAGACATAAATGGAGAACAACTCTTGCTCCCACGCAAATCTGTTGTAAAGACTGCGAAGCTGATCTAGACATTGTAATAAGTAAACCCTTGAAATAAGGGGCACATTTCTCAACAGAGAAATGGCTAAATCTTCTTCTTCTTCTCTTTTTCTTCAGCAAGGATCATAAACCTTAAAACATCAGACAGTCACGATCAACCGCTGGTCAGTTGCGACGAGTTCTGGCAGTAGACGACTTTGTGAGAATTGACACATGGACAGCTAAAAAAAATTGGTCTGTCACACCCAAAGCATATTCATAGGGAGCAACAGTTGCAATGTGTGTCACTGCATTTTGTAATCCATGAGCTGTATTTTGGAAAAAGCCCTATTCAATAATTTTGGGCTGTACAATTTGACTTACAGAAGTATGGTTGGAGAGTCAAAACAGAAAGGAAAATCACAGCCTAGTCTTCAGTAACATTAAACATATTTGTAGAATCATGTATTACATGGTCAAGTTTTTTTATGAAATGAAATTAATGTCTTCTCTTTTTCCTTTTTTTTAAACTGGTGCTTTGCTTAATGTTTATTAGCTGTCAAATACTTTTCAATTACAATGATTTGACAACCTCTGAATATTGCCCTCAACCTGAAACTTAAGTGACATGCAATTTTCATTTTCTGTACCAAACATCACTTTGCTAACGTTTCCATCAAATGAGCAACATTATCAGTAGCTGAGCCAAAAAAAAATCTAGGTTTCCAATATTTTTTCAAAGAAGTGATGTCTTACCCGTGATGTCAGAGCACACAAACTGCAGACAAAGCTATGACAAAGTGACTGTGAAATTGGCAAAGTGATGTTACATTCACTGCAGCTGTATATTTTCACTATTTACTGTAGTCACAAACCAAAGCTGTTTGCCGTCATGGTTCTTTGTAGTAATCCCATACAATTCTATGCAAAAACATGAATGTTAACATATTATTTGCATCGAGTCACAACGAGCGGGGTTTACTGTGGTTGAGCTCAATCCTTTGTAAATCACATTCATTAAGTAATTTGCTCACCAAATAATGTCAAACCAGAGTTGACCTGGAGGTGAAGGCGTTGATCCTGAACCACAGCGATGTCATGTCTCTGTCATTTCATCTTCTGAAACTGAAAAAGGCATAAGACACCTAAATTACAATAATAATAATGATCTGTTCTATCAGTTGCTGTTCAAATAAGGATTAATCTTTGCTGTGGAGCGACCATTTGGAAAAATGCCACCAACATTTGCACACCGAGAAGCCAATTTGAATAAAAGCACAAAGCAAATGTGCAGGAGGTCAAGCGCAATGAGCAAGCAGCAAAGAGAGCTGATATTCAGTAATTAGAGTCATCATTACAAACTGAATGTTTAAATTTGACTAAATCTAAGTGGCAGATTTGTGCAGTTTGTCTTTGTACAAAACTCTGATATTCCTAAAATAATAATTTTGTCTAAGTTGTGGTTGTCTTCAGTCAAGTGGATGGATGGATGTTTTATTTGATTTAACTCTAAAGAAAAGTCACTAAATAAATATCCAATAACTAGGAGAGATAAGAAACAGGAATGAATGTAACCCAACAGTTTGTTCTTGCAATCTTAAACTAATAATACAATCAGAGAAGTATAACACACTACTAATGAGTTCTATATTTATCCATTGGACCATTCATTGATACTTTAAGAGAGGTAAATGACTTATACGTGAACTTACTTTTGTATTTACAACTGCTCCATTTTCTTGTGAACCTGTTTATGTTATTATTTATATTTCATATATAAGTTAAATTTACACATAATATGCTTTATTATTCAAATTGGTCTTGTGAACCTCCTTATGCCCAGCCTCGTGCCCTGTGGCCAGATTACTTTGATAGGGGTGAAAAAAACAACAACATTATAGCAGCTGGTGCTGAAACAGATCTCAGTCATGATGACAGCCAAAGTTACTCACTTACTTTTAAGGGATTTTGCCTACAAAATAAATTCAGTGTCTGGCTTGCTGGACACACCTCTGAAAATGCCATCAGAAAACGTGAGATCAGATTCCCCTGAATGAGAAACACAGGAATTGCCTCTGCCTGAAGATACTGGGGACATGAAAATAATCATCCATTGGTTGATGTGGACCAGTCGCTGGGAGGCACAAACTCCTGCACATGCTTAGTTGTTAAACCATCTCTTCATAATCAATTTGTTGAAAGGGGAGATAAAAAATACTAGCAACAAGTGGATATTGAACACACAAGCCTTTGAACATGAGTCCTGTGCACTACGGACTGAGCTAAACAAGCACACAGTAAATGATGGATTCAAAATAATAAATTGACTATGTTCTGGCCTGCCATATAATGACTTGAAAAACATTTGGCCCAATGCCAGACTTATTTTCCCCTGGATATTGTAGTGGACCTAAATTTATTAGTTATGCATTTTAATAAATTTATGAGAATTGATACCCAATTATGAATTATTATTCATAATTTCAGAATTTCCTCGTAAAGGGCACCACCGGAGTTGTTATAATCCTAGAGTCTCCGGACCTCTAGGTAGTTTTGAATAATTATACAATTACTACTAGTGATCAGTTAGTTAATAATCGCTCAATTATCTTAAATCAGTCAGTCAGTCTCATATCTAAAGGGTAAATTCTCTTGGCAGGAACTATAAATAGGCAACACACACAGCTCTTGATTATATTACAGTGAATTTATTCTCTAACTAAGGTGATAAAAGATGGTTGGATACAAGGAACATAAACATTTGCTGAACAATGAGCCTGGAGGTTCGATTGTGGGAAGCATTCGACTCATACGGCATAGAAGAGCTACTGAAAGTAAACTAATGCTATGATTTTAGGAGTTAAAATGGACATCTGATCACAGGACGTGTGTTAAGTCTTACTGCTTGTCGACAGCCTGCTTTTGGCCTGTTGCACGGGTCCCACGCTAGCTGCCGATCCTGGCTTTTTGCTAGGGATTCTTCGGGGTTCTCCGTGTCTGATTGAAAACGCCTCCTCCGTCTGGCAATTCGGCTGTTTGCAGGTTTCCTTGGTTGCAGCTGGCGAGACCACGTGGCTTGGTCTGACCTCGGTGAAGTTGGCTCGACGAAAAAGGCTTAAAATGGAACTTGGTCGTTCCTGAATTAGTCCAGTGTAACTTAACGGACTCATAACTTTAACAAACAAAAGAAATAAAGAAAATAAAACAAACTGAAGGCAGATCGATGTCTCGGCACTTCAGGTGTGTAGCTTCAGGCGAACAAAGGCCTGTTTGTTTCGCTGGCCGAGTCTGGGCGTTGCCTGGCGAGGCACGCCACGCGCGTGCCGAAGCATCCAGAGGGCCGAGTGGAAGAGAGCGAGAGAGGGAAGCGTCTAGAAGAAGAGGAGTCTGGCGAGCAGGTCGCGTGTCGCTCTTTTGTTGCCTGGGGCGTGGTTCCCCAGGGGGCGTCTCAGGTTTCCCCAGGAACTGCCTTTCTAAACTTAATGTCTAAAGAAAAGAAATCTATTTGCACGTATTATAATCAAATATTTTCCACAATCGAACCTCAATGGTTGAACGGTTGTACTGTTCTAGGTATTTGGTAACAGGAAACAATTGTCACATTATTGGTCAGGATTTTTATACATTTAACCGCATTTCCGACGAGGGCATGTAATACTTATTTCGTCCACTTGGGGGAGCTCAGGTTACATGAGGAAAGCTTGGATTAAATCAAAGATCGTCTCTCCTTAGGAACCGGGGAATATTGTTGATTCATCCTTAAATTCAAGCTGGCGATTAAGAGTATAGTAAAACATTTGTTATCATTTCTAAAGGGATTTTGTAAGAAAGTATTATGAACAAGCATTGATTACATCAGATGAAGGAGTGTCTTGCTGAAAATGAAAACATTGCACAAGTAACTTCTTTTCAGCACTAATATCAACAACAGATAGCAACAACAGTTAACATAACTACTCAAATAGAGGCAAACGTATTCAGGTAACTAAAGATTTAATTAAATTTAATTAGATGCTTTGAGTCTTTTGGAGAATGCAGTCCTTTGTCATCCAAAGTTCAGTGTCTGGAACATGTCACACTTAGGTGAGACAAGGAGTATCCTTTTGATGTGGTAATAAAACAAAGAATAAGGTCAGTTTCCACGGAAACGTGTGTGGTGGGGTAAGTTTTGATAGGCTGTTCAGGGAGATGCCAATGGCTGGCTCGTGTCCCTTTGTCAGTTTAACAGTCAGGTCCCGCGTTATCAGCTTCGGAATCAAAAATGGTGCCAGTTTTATGGTCGGGCTAGCACTTAGAGAAAGCAACTTTGACCCCTCCCCATCTTCTCTGGGGAGGAGAAAGGAGTTTAGGGTAGCTCCACATTCATTCAATATAAAATGCACAAATCCACATCGTTGTTCACTACAATATTACCCCAAGAATGTTCTGAGCTACTACTGATGCAGGGTCCAAGGCATTTAAGTTTGGGCTTATTGAAACATTCTTGTAACTGCATTGTTTAGTTTATTATTATGAGACTGATTGAGATTGTCTCCCTCCCCTGTTGTATTGTCTTTACATAAACTAGTGCAGTGCAAATTAGTGGGGGGGGGGGATCAATCGCCAAGACGCACACACTCCAGAACATTCTTTAGAGGGATGTTTCTAGTTTTGAAAATGTATTTTAATGGTTCATTTAGTTATGTACTCTACTTGCATAAAATTCTCAAGAATGCAGGAATAAAGGTCTCTAAAAACCCAGAGGCCCCAACAAATGCTTTGTCTGGAGAGTGGGCTGACCATAATCTCCCCTCTTCAGTCTATTCTCTATCTTCTTTCACTACAAAGACCCTATTTCAGCCACACTAATAAGTACATTCTGTTTTCAAAAGTCATTAGAAATTAGCATTTAATCAGAATCAGAATCAGAAGGAGCTTTATTGCCAAGTAGTGTTTAACACATTCGAGGAATTGGTTTTGTTGATAAGGTGCTACACGTAGACATAAATAAATGTAGAAATATATAAATATGGAATAGACAATGCAAGTTATATAATAATATAAAAGAAAGAATATGAAAGATAATACAACTATTTGCAGACTATTTATCTATCAACTATTTAAGTTTAAAAACAAAACTTGTCCCCCCCCAGGGACACACAACCTATACACCCGTGCTCATGGGAACAAACAAACAAAGGTAGGTTTTGCAAATTATCCAAATTAGCAGAACTCTTTACATACACAAATTCTTGGAAGGAGCCCAAAACAAGAAAAGCAAAGACAACGCCTTTGTGCTTGCTCCTTACTTTGCACCCAGATGATGCTGTGCCACAGTCATGCAGTACTAGTTTCCAAATGTAGGTTTTGCAAATCATCCAAATTGGCAGAGATCTTTACATAATCTAATTCTTGGAAGAAACCCAAACTAAGCGAAGCAAAGAGTTTCTCTGCTTTGTAATCTCTTTGTGGCCCCTAAAACTAAAAGTAATCAACCGAAGATCTTTGTTCTAAAAAAATACTGTAAAATACTGTTTTGCTAACCAACCATTTGCTTTTATTATCCCTTGCTGCCGCTGTGGATCAACATAGTGGCATATTATTAGCTAAATATCAAGGATATTATTGGAAATATTAATAGTGTTATCAATATTATAAAAAATATAAGATTAATATTTATACCAATGCGGAAGTATCTGAAACTGCAATTCATCGAGTCGCCACTTGAGGCTGGCTGCAGAAGGGAGTCAATCCTCATTGACCCCCATGTTAAAAAGCCCAACTTTACAGCAGAATAAAACATGTTTACAGCCTGGTTCAAAAAATGGTTTTAGTGCATATCGCTAAGTTTGCCCTTAGTGACAACTGTGAGGGGGGTGAATATTTTTTAACTGACCTGTTTAAATTATATTAAGCCTTACAGTTCTGCATTATTAGGGGCGTGACAGGCGCCATTAGCCGCTGCCACTGTTAGCACTCGGAGCCTTTTGGACATTTCCACATGCAAACACTGGATGAATAATGGCAGGCTGTGCAGTTCATTAGAGAGAGAACCTCCAGGAAATCCCTGTTTTACTTGGTTATTTATGTGTTAACATTTAACAGGTATCGCTGTCGGCATATAGCTTGTTCGCTTAACGTTAGCTTGTTACGCTAATTAGCCATTAGTGTAAGCAACGTTAAGTTAGTTAGTGTGTTCTAACCGCAGCTTTTAATGAGTCAAAGACAAGTCAGCAAAAAGGAGAAGCCAAAATGCATTAGATTAACTTTAGTGTTAGACATTAGGGTGATAATGCTTTGAAGAAAAGGCTTACTTACAACTTCAAAGTAAAGGCTCAGCTCTCAGTTAGCTGCCGTTATGTTAACGGTAACTTTTACTGACAGGCGATTGGAGATTTAGCTACGTCCTGTAACGGAATCACTGTTCAGTTAGATACTAGTCAGATACTATTATAAGTGGCTGCACCTGATCCCGATGGACACAAAGGGTTTAAAGGCAGAGAGCCGAGGGGGGAGCGGCTGCGGAGTTCTGCCTGAATGTTACTGTTTAAAAACTATAAAATTTACTATTCTTTGTGGGGTTCACCAGTGGGGATGATTGATTCAAAGTACATATTAAAGGCAGTTTAGTCATCAATAAGTTATTACACTTAGTAGACGTAGCATTCCTTGAGATTCTGCAAACAATCTGAGGTGATAACTGCGTTTGATCAGCGACGTTTCTGATAAGGAGCTTAAGAGGTAGATGCCTAAGTCGGCAGAACAGCTTTTTTGGCTACCTGCAGAGATGTGCATCCACCTTTTTTGTCAGCATATAATTCACTTTATGCCTGCAGAAAGGTAGCTGAGCTGTAACTAGGGTGATGGTTTAGTTAAGGCAAGAAATTAGGTGTGTGAGAGCCGCCTCAGAGTTTGTTTGGTGGATTAGAATTTGCCAAAAAAGGTAGTACAGTTCAATAAGAAATATAAAATAAGAGATCCTTATAATAAACGTTCAATAAGATATGACTTGAGTAGTTATTGTTGCACAGTGTCCAGCAGAAAACCGTATATTGCACATATTAGGAAACGGTGTATTTCACATTGCCACCCCTAATTACTGCCAAATGCCAGAGAGGTTATCATGCTGAGGCGATCTCAGAGTTCAGTAGCTTTATGGCACTTTGGAAGAAGCTGCTTAACTGTCTACCCATTGTTGTCTTTACAGGTGCCAAGGATCTGATTACAGAACCCTCCAGATGTGATTAGCTGTGTCCAGCTCTACAGAAGATAACAGCTCCAGCTTCCAGCTCTTCTACTCCTGCTTTGCTCAGCCTTTTCTTTTTACTCACAACACCTGAATACTGACGTGAAATTATGACACTGGGTTCTTATCAACAGATTCTATCATTATAATAACTCAACACATTTCAAGTCATACAAAACTACTTTTACATTTGTAGCCTTTTAATATTGATGTTTTCATGAATGAACTATTGCTTGTGTATTAGGAAGACTTTGTTATAAAGTGTATCAGACTAATTATACATAATAAAATCATTCTTCATTCATCATCAGTTTCATATTTTCATTTTAAATAGTCTGATCTAAACTTATAGTACATAGTTAACAGCTGTAAATGAAAATATTAAGATGTTATTTATAGGCTAACAATTTGCATATGTTAGTAGAAAGCAAAAAAATGAAAGGTTGATGTTGTATACTGTTTTATTTTGACATTTCTTTAAGAGACAAATGTGACATTGACTGAGAAGTTACTCTGTAGTGAAAAAATATTATTATTATTATTATTATAGAATTATTAGTTTTGAAGCCCTCTTGAAGGTGTCATTTATTGCGACCTCTGAGAAGCTCTTGTGTGGTTTAAATTGTATAGACTCACCTATTTACTACATGTGCATTTGGTCAGCTCTGAGACCTCAGAGTTTGCAAGGTCACAATAAAAACCACCTAGTGGGATTCATAATTACTATGTGCAGA